AAAAAATACTGAAATCACTTAAAAAAATAATAATGATCATCAGGCCAATCTTGTATAAAAGTTGGTTTAGAAATAAACCTTTAGAAGAAGAGATTGCTAGTCACACTCAATTCCTGGAATACTGAGACAGATTTCAGGCTGTCCATGAATCATACCATCCCAGACCTAGCCCCGCTGCTCGAGGATGGAATCTCCCACATTCCCTCACTAGTGCAAAGCTCCTCTGTAGCCCACAGCCACCACTGCCCAAGGACCTGCCAGCTGGGTGTTCATCTTCTCCTAGGCTTCCAGGAAAAGCCTAGGGTTATTTCTAAGTGCCCCACGGACACACAGACCCTGAAAGCCAACCTTATCCTCACTGTTCAAACAAGGGCTTCTGGCTTATTACTGGTAGGAGGGACTCTTCTGATACAGCGCTCCCCTCAGTGAGGCCTTTTGAAGTCTGCAATGCACATGTGCGCTACCTCAGCACACAGAAAGATAACTCAAGTTTGGTACATCAGAAAGCACCCTCCCTTCAAACAAGAACTTTCTCTAAAGATTCATTTATTTGGAAGGCAGAGTGACAAAGGCAGAGACAGAGGCAGACAGAGATCTTCCATCCGCTGGTGCACTCCTCAAATGACCACGATGGTCAGGGCTGAGCCAGGCCGAAGCCAGGAATCCTATCCATGTCTCCTACATGAGTGACAGGGACTCAACTGAGCTTTTACCTGCTGCTTCCCAGGTACATTAGTGGGTGGCTGGATCAGAGGCAGAGTAGCCAGGCCTCAAACTGGCACTCTGATATGGGATATGGGTGTCACAAGCAGTGGCTTAAACTGCTGTACCTCCACACCTACCCCTCAAATCATTTAATCTATGAGTAGTGTAATAATGGGAGGAAAAATGTTAACCTACATATACACTTGCCTATACACCAAGAAAATAAATATCAACAATTCAGTATGAAACTACAATAATGAATATATAAAGAGGAATCTCGTGAAATAATAACATTACAGATGGACAACTGAAAATAATTGGTTGTAGGCCTAGATTACATAGTAACAGAACAAAATGTGTGAAAGACATTCAACTCTTGGGATTTAAAACTTTCTGCTTTAATTTCAAAGAACTGCTATTCCTAATAGTTTATACCAATTACAATGATTTCTTATGAACAAATAACAAGTTTTCTACATCTCTATTCAAATACTTAGAAGTTCTGGCAATGGATTTAAAATAATCTAATTCAGAACCTGCAGAATTCTTTTAAAAGACTTCTTCAACCACAGTCACATATAATTCTTAAGTCACAATTTTAAAATGTTAGAAATTCTCTTTTGAGGGACAGACGTGTGCTACAGTGGTTAAGTCACCACTTTGGGATGCCTGTATCTTGTATCATGGTGCCTGATTGGAGTCCCAGCTTCTTAGCTTCTGATCCAGCATCCTGTTAATGCACATTGTAGGAGGCAGCAGATAATACTTGGGTCTCTGCCACCCTCATGGGAGTCTCAGATTGAGTTCCTGGTTCAGTTCCTGGCTTTGGCCTCGACAAACCCTGGCTGTTATGAGAGCAGTGGATGGAAAATCTGTTTTCCTTTATCTGCCTTTCAAATAAAATGAAAATGGGAAAAAAATTCTTTGAGAAAGTCAACAAATTTAGCAACATTAAAATATAGTACTTCTGGAAGTCATAATATGTTTGGGGTCTACGCTGTGATGTAGTAGGTTAACCCTCCAATTGCGGCACCAGCATCCCATATGGGCACCGGTTTGAGTCCTAGCTGTTCCACTTCCAATCTAGCTCTCTGTTAATGTACCTGGGAATGCAGTGGAAGATGACCCAAGTGTGTGGGCCTCTGCATCCATGTGGGAGACCCTCAAGAAGCTCCTAGCTCCTGGCTTCAGATGGGCCCAGCTCCAGCTGTTACAGCCACTTAGGGAGTGAACCAGCAGATGGAAGCCCTGAATCTGTAACTCTGACTCTCAAATCTTTTAAAAAAATTTTTATAAGGCAAAGATGGGGGTAATATTTGAAATATGAATGGTTAAAGTTCACTTTTGATCCATAACGGGCTCTTATGAATTAAGGAAAAACAGCTAATAACCCAGGAGAAAAAAAATCTAGCACAACATACAATTAAAAGGGAATAGAAAGCCAGCACCGCAGCTCAATAGGCTAATCCTCTGCCTTGCGGCGCCAGCACACAGGGTTCTAGTCCTGGTCGGGGCGCCGGATTCTGTCCCGGTTGCCCCTCTTCCAGGCAAGCTCTCTGCTATGGCCCGGGAGTGCAGTGGAGGATGGCCCAAGTGCTTGGGCCCTGCACCTGCATGGGAGACCAGGAGAAGCACCTGGCACCTGCCTTCAGATCAGCGCGGTGCGCCAGCGGCCATTGGAGGGTGAACCAACGGCAAAGGAAGACCTTTCTATCTCCCTGTCTACTCTGCCTGTAAAAAATAAAATAAGGCATAGAAATTACAAATAACTAATTTTTTTGGTGTTCATCCTTGTAATCAAAGAATTGGAATTTAAATACTGAAGTAATTCTGCTCTGCTACAAAACTAGCAAGAATTTTTTTATTTTAAGGATGATTATGTTGACAAGAATATAGGAACACAAACACTCTAATAGAGTACCAGTGGGAGAATATGTTGACTAAACGTCTTTTGGAAAGCAAATGGTCCGTGTGTAAAGTGTCCCTCTGAGAATTAACTGTATTTCAAGGACTCCATCCTATGGAAATAAACATGGCGAAATGCTAAAGAGGTTATTTGTTGCAACTGCATATTTAGTAACTGGAAACAAATGGAAAGTTCAGCCATAAGCAAGTAGTTAAATAAACTGATACATTTACCTATTATATAGCTACCAAAGCAAAATTTGGAACACCTAATGACATGGAAAATTTTTCATGATGTGTTAAAAAGTTTAAGCATGCAGCAGTATACCGGTATAAATAACGTACTTGTAAATCTACATATGGTACATATTAACAAGTATAAAGAAAACATTAACTGTAATTATCTTTGGTGAGATTGTCTCTTACCCTTTCCAAATCTACCAATTTGTATACAGCAAGCATGCACTACTTTTGAAATCTCAGACAGGGTTGACAGAACAGAGCCATTAAGTGATATCTTTCCAAATGCTTGAGTGTAAAAACCGCAGTGCAGTTTCCACGAAGTACCATATGGAGTTTACCTAGAACCTGACAGTCCTAACAAACACTCCAAAATGCAACCTTGAGTTATTGATACATAATTTAAAAGTGCAGATCTTCTACCAGGTAGTAGTTCCTCCACATAAACTTGTTTGAAATAGAATAGGTGGGAAAGGTTTGTGCAAGTTCCATAAATAACTATACATTACGTGAAACTAAATTCCACTCCTAATGAGTTTTTAAGGAGTAACAAGATGATTCTAATGTTTACTTTAACATTCCTTAGGGAATATCTTTAAGAAAACGACTATTAATGCCCTTTCTGCATTGTACAAATAGAGTATCATTGTTTCCATTTAAATTGCTCACCACCACCTGCCCTAAACATTCCTGGGGGGAAAAAAAAAAGTTTGCCTACAAAACTGCAGTTCTGATTACGCAACTCCTCTTCGGGTTATCCATGCTGACTCTGATCTGGGTGTGTTTAGGCTCCTTAAAGAGGTCACAGATTCCTGAGAGCGGTGCCTTTCGTTCCCTCCCTCTTCCCTGGAATCCATTCCCAGCCCCAGCGCGGCGATTTGGGAAGCTGATGACCGGATTCCAATCACCTGGCACAGCCGGACAACTCTCGCCCTCCCCCTGCCTCGCCTCAGACTTTGTTTTAACGCAAACAAAACAGACACACCGGGTTTCCTTTCCTACAACACTGACTAGTTAAAGCAAACAGCACGTAGAAGAGTGCAGGCTTTGAGTGATTTATCTTCACCCCTACTTGCAAAGTCAGGATCTTTCTGGGGACTTAGCAGGCCAGGGTAGGCTTTGAGGAGAGGAGGGCGGACACTTGGGTCTGCTCATCACATTAGCCAACGCCGTGGCCTCTGTGAGGGGGCATGCTGCCGGAGAGCTGGAAAAGGGCCAGCGAGCGGCAGGAAGGCGCGCAGGGCAGGAGGCCGCTGGGAACCGCGGACGCCCCATCTCTCGCCCTTCTCGGCCCTGATGGCTCCGACTGAGCCCGGCACCGGTGAAGCGCCCAGCGGGAAGGCTCAGAGCACCGGTCAAGCGCCCAGTGGGCGGCTTCCGGCCGAGGACGCAAGCTTGCCTGTCTACGAATGGGAGCGCACGGGGGAACCCCTCGGTCACTTTCAAGGTGACAGCCGCCGATCTGCAGCCGTCCCTTCCGCAGGAGCGGCACTGACCCCACGTGAGACCTGCCTTGCTCCGCCGCCTCCCGGACTCTGCACCCTCTCCCCACACTCGGGGCGCAGGCCCCCCGGGGTACCCGCCCCCTCCCCGAAGGTTCGTCCCGTGACCGCGCGCCAGTCGTGGCCACCACGTCCCCACCGGGTAGCGGGACCTGCTCTGTTCCGCACTTACCCGCAGCGCCTCCAAGCCAGCCCGGAGCTCTCCTCGCACTGGGACGCAGAGGCGGGGCGGCGAGCCGCTCCGGGGCCGCGCGCTTCGGGCCTTAGGCGGGGGCCGCTCCCGGCCCACCCCGGGAGGCCGGCTGGGCGGCGTCTGCACCTGCGGCCGCGCAGCTCGTCGGGCACCCCACCCGCAGCCTTGGCGGCGGCAGCCGGCGGAACCTAGGGTCCAGGAGCACCAGCCTCCCCGCCTCCCTGGCTGCCAGGGGGTGGAGCAAGGGCGGGGAGTTGAGGAAACTTGTAAATAGAAAAGCTGAGCGGCCCCTTTGGAGCGGTCCCCTCCCGCGACTCCCGGCGGGGGACCAAGGCCAGGGGGCGGCGTCCCACGGAGCTGGAGAGAAGCGCGCGGGGAGGCTCTCACCGTGCTCCGCTCCCGCCTTCCTAGCGCTCCCGGGTTCCAATCCCGAAGCCCCGCGCGCTCCCGGGCTAAGTACGTACCCGCCCCACCCCCGGGCGTCCGGCCCGGGCCGCGCTGCACCTGTTGCCGCCGGTGTTGTAGCTTCAGCCCGCGCACCTGGCTGAACCCCGCGTCCGCAGATCTCAGCGCTGGAGCCCCAAGCCAAGCCAGGGTACGATGGGGTTCAGCTTCCTGCTTCCCTCTCGCCACCTGGCTTCTCCCTCGAGTGGTGGGGCCGGGCAGCAGGGGCGGGGGAAGGTGAGAATTAATGAGAGCGCAGGCTGGTAAGAAACCAGCAGTGACTGTCGCTTAGAGCGTTCGATGGTACTCTTTTCTCTCCTTGCTGCAGAGAAGTTTACTTGCAAACATGTTTTAAAGGCTAAAGAAATGAGCGCTGTGGCGCAGCGGGTTAAAGCCCCAGTCTGCAGCGCCAGCATCCCATATGGGCTCCAGTTCAAGTCCCGGCTGCTCCACTTCTGAGCTAGCTCTCTACTGGGAAAGCAGTAGAAGATAGCCCAAGTGCTTGGGCCCCTGCACCCGCGTGGGGGACCCGGAAGAAGCTCCTGGTTCGGGCCATTGAGGCCATTTGGGGAGTGAACCAGCAGATCAAGATCTCTTTCTCACTCTGCCTCTACCTCTTTGTAACTCTGCCTTTCAAATAACTAAAATAAATCTTTAAAAAAAAAAATGAGCACTACAGCTTTTGGATCTCTGGATACAAAGTGGAGAGAAACTAAGCCCGACCCACTTTTCTCTAAATACAAACTAAATCTTGGCTCTTTGCTGAACTAAGCACGCTTCTTCCACAGTCCTCCCTGACACCCCTAAAATACTTTCTTCTCTTTTCCAAAGATGATCTCCCACCTAGGAAAAATGTGCTATTACTGAACCATTGACTGTCAGACAACTTGAGTCCAAAATGTTAAAAAGCATATTTAATTATGAAAAATTAATTAAAGGCTTTTGAAGAGAAATAAGGTTTTTTTCTGAATATAAATCTGAAGACTTTGCAGTCTGCAGTTTTCTATAGCAGGAGTATTAGCTGAACTACAAGATGTATTATCATTTACAGTTGTGCAGTCTTGGTACAGGTACAGTGGTTTATTATTTCCTCAAAGCAAGACCCAGGCAAATGCAGGTCAGAGTACTGACTCCATTATTCAAGGGAGGAAATTGAAGCTCAGAAGGGTTGACTTGCCCAAGGTCACATAGTTGGTGAGGAACAAGCAACTCAGCAGCCCAACCCTCATCTCTTTATTCCATTTTACAGTGACACCTCTCACTTGCTTTTGAAGTTCCCACAGTAAACACACACACGGATGGCCCGTGATCTGTGACTTTAATAAAAGGCATGTGGTGAATTTGAAAAGATTCAGTGCTAAGCATGGGATGACTCTTCCTTGTGCAAAGGCATACACACAATCTAAACAAAATGAAAAGCACCAGCCACATTGTTTCTGTAAGTCATGAGATAATTATGCTAATAAGCAACGTGCCTCCTCCATAAGAATATTTCTTGTGTTAAACATATCATTTAATCTTTATAACCCTCAGATGACCCGTGATTTGGTCCAACCCCCCACAGTTCTATTGTATAGCTTCCTTCTATCTATAAATATAGAACCTGTTTTACTTCATTTTTCTATGGGACAGATGAGAAGGCAAAAAAAAAAAAAAAAACCACTCTTCTAAGTAATTAGAGCTGCTTTTGTGGGCCTTGGGAAATCTGAAGTTTAGCTTCTGATTGCATCAACATCGAAACACAAGTTATCTTCTAGGGATATCCTCAGGGACTGTCAAGGCGAATATTCTTGAAATGAGGCCTCTTGGGTCTCTTTCCAACTAAGTTCTGGGCATGTTGCCATGTTCCTGATCTCTGAACTTTGATGCTGACCTGCTGCAGACTCCAGAAATAATATTAAGGACCAGACAATAAACTCCACAGCACTTTGGGGTCCTTTGCTCTAAGAAAAAGCAAACTTTAGTTTTCTCTAAAGAGAACCTAACAACACTGAGAAAATGTTTTTTTCATTTAGCAGTTTGTCAAAAATAAAAAAAGTTTCTTTAAAGGTTTATTTTACTTATTTGAAAGGCAGAGCGATAGAGGAAGGGAGAGAGATCTTTCTTCCAATGGTTCACTTCCCAAATGGCCAAAATGGCAGGGGCTGGCCAAGCTGAAGCCAGGAGCCTGGAACTCCATCTGGATCTCCCATGTGTGTAGCAGGGTCCCAAGTACTTGAATCACCTTCCAGTGCCTTTCCAGGTACATTAGGATAGGAAGCAGAACAGCCAGGACTTGAACCAGTGCTCCAATATGGGATGCCAGTGTAGCTAGTGGAGGCTTAACCCCCTGCCCCACAACACTGTCTCAAAAAATTACCAAGTTTAATAATCAAAGTGTGTCCATTATAGTAGTCACAATGCAGATGTCATTATATGTGGCAATACCTAACAAAATTATAAATACACATATTCTTTGAGTCAGTAAATCCACATATAAGAGTTTAGCTCACAATACAGATGACAAATGGCATTTATACAGAAACTTGCTTATTTAAGCATTGATGACTATAATAAACATTGAAAAGAAATATAAATGTTCTCTAATAAAGAATCAGTAAGTCATGATACAATCATAAAATGAAATCCTATTAAGGCTTAAAAAAAGAATACAAAAGCTCTTTGTATGAACTGATGTCCAAGATATATTACATGCAAATTTTTTTAAATATAAAGCAATTATCTAATAGTATGTTACAGTTTCTGTTAAATCAGAGAAGATATATACACAAATTTGTGTATAAATGAGGATCTTCAAAAGTTCATGGAAAATGCATATTATTAAAAAACTGCATGAATATCATAATTTTCTTATAACAAAATAAGCTCATCTTTTAATAGTATTTCCCATGAACCTTCTCAAGAACTTCTTAAATGTATATTTGTGTAAGCTTTAGCTGTGTCTTGGGAGGGGAACTGGACAGCTGGAGGGAAGGGTTTGAAGAGAAACTTTTTAATAGACATAATTTTGTGCTTTTTGGATTTTGAACCATGTAAATAATAGTACGCATCTTACCATGCAAAAATTTTTTACCACTTGAAGTTTGCCACAGGAATGGCAAAGCTCCTCTGTCAACTAATTTCACTTATAAATAAAATAAATGATCAGGTTTCTCATGCATTAATGGGAGGGAAAAACAAAGTGCTCAGTAGATGTTTTCAGCCCTTTTTCCTCTGTTCATCTGAAAAAGAAGACTTTAATACACAAAACTCTCACAAACATGCTGTGAGTGCTGTGGAAATGATGAGCCAGCAAATTCCTCAAACTGTATTATCACTGATATCTCCCTAGGGTAGAGCTTCTAGCTAACTTTCCCAAGTCATATTCAATCAGAAAGGAAAGAAAGGACTTCAGGCTTCATTCCCAAGAGGACAACGCCAGTACATTGATTTCACTGGTGAGGAAATAACTCCACGGGAATTTCAAGGGGCCATTTTTACTTTGTTCCCAATCCAGCTTCCTATTTAGTTTGTTACTTATTTTTATTTCTTTAAACCACTATTTCACTGAAAAGGGGTTTGAACAACTCTAAAACACAGGTGCAATAAATTAAACAAAATTTAGAAATATAAATATTTTTAATATAAAATGAGATCTGGGGGAAAGCATACAGCTAAGAAAACACACACTGTTGAGCAACAAATTGAAACACTGAGCTTGCTGCTAGCCAAGTGCCCCGACCAGTTACGTAACTACCATTTTCACAGGGGGCTGACAGTTCCTCAAGAGAAGCAAAGCTTTTCGAGGACTGAATTCTAAGAAAAATTCGGCTTGTCACTTCTTTAGAGACAACTGAATGGAAAACAATAATATGGCATTAAAGCACTCAAAGGAAGTTTATATGGTTTTTTTTCATAGTGGCTTTGAATAAAAACCAAAAGTATTATAATAAAACTCGAGAAAGGTATTCAATCACTCACTGAGGGAATAGGCTAATATCATCCAAGCTTTATAACAGCATAAGAAGATCAAAGACTGGCTGTAAATAGAGGAATGTAGGGAGAGTAACTCCTTCATAAACCTCTTGAAAGATATACCTCTTTAAAAAGTGCTTTTCTTTATTAGCATGTAATACATGTACATTTTATTGGATGCAGTGCAATATTTCAACACGTGTATACAGTGTAAACAAATCAAGTCAAGCCATTAACATGTTTATTTCCTCATCATTGCTTAGTGTTTGGAGCCTTAGAGATAGTTCCAAAGTGATTATGCTCATGGCAAAATTCTAACATCTACACAAATCCTTTGCCTCAGAGGCAGACACAGTTTCTCTATGAGGCATTCCAGTAATTTTCTAGGCAGGCACATATCTGATAGGTGCTGAAGAATTGATGACAATTTGTTGTCAACTCTGACAAGTCCGAGAATGCTGTAATTTAGTCATGCGGTTGATGACTTTTTTCCCATTTTTATGGAAATCAAAAGTATATTACAAAGAGTCAAATGACATTTAATTCTTGTATCTCAAGACAGTGAGGCATATGTGGTCACATGCACAAACTGATCTGTCAGAGCAATGACTACATAGCAAGTAAAAAAGATGAGAGTACTGAATGGTCCTGATTTATTTACAAGCAACTCTTGGGTTCCTCATTACCCATTCTGTTTAGTAAGCTTAGAGACGCAGACTCCACTCAGTGTCTCAACTGGGAGATAATCAGAGTAGGGATGTTCTCATGCAGAAGTCTGCAGACTGGAAAATAAAGTACCTCGAAGAAATAAGACTCATCCCAAGTTCAAAGCAGTAGCAATGGGGAGGAAATAGAACTTCCTCTTTCAGAAGGACCTGAAAACATTGGAGAAACTCTTTCATCTCCCCATACTATCAAAAGTAGCTCCAAGTCTTTTCATTACAATTATAGAGTTTAAAGAAGAACTGTCCTAATAGCATGATGTCAAATTTATTTTAGTTCACACACAAACAAGTTGTTCTGTAATTCTGATGTGGACCTCCTCATATTAGGAAGAAATTAAGGAAAATATAGCACCACCAGTTTGTTACGCAACCACTCTGAAAATGTTTACTTTGAGTACTTAAAATGTCATGACTAAAGAAACTACTGGTCTGTGTAATCCACTCTTGACAATGAATCATAACCGTGTCACAC